ATGCATGAATGCGTGAGTGTATATACTGTGTGGCCTCCTATGCTTGCAGCCTGAAAAACCAGAAGACCCACGGACTCCTTAAGGAACCCAACAAATAGACACAAACTGGTAAAGCAGCAACAAAAGCAAAGAGGGAGGCCAGTACTGCACAGCACTCCAGAACAAACAGGACAGGACATCGGCCTCTCTGAGTTCCCACCGTGAAGCAACAGACGCGGGACCCAGGGCCAGCAGCACGGCACACACCAGGGCCGAAGCTGGCCTCTAAAAGAACTGCGGTCCCTTGATTATGAACTCCGCACATTGGCCTTGGCCGATACACCAAAACCACCTAATAAAATTAAGGTTAGATCACGCCATCAATCAGTCCTCGCCTTTCCAGTAACTCGGAGCCAGACAGATAGGACCTCAGAGGGTGAGGAGGACCAATCAGAAGAGGAGGAAAAGGAGGATGAGGAACAGGATACTGGGAATGAAGAGGAACAACCCACCCAGGGAAAAGGCCAACAAGAGTATAAGAGGCTTAGCCTTCGGTTTGTTGAAAAGCTTAAAAATGCATGTGCCCAATATGGCCCGACTGCTCCTTATACGTTAGCCTTGTTAGAAAACCAAAGTGCGCGCTGGCTCACCCCTAATGATTGGAAGTTCCTGGCCCGCACCACCCTTAGTGGGGGTGATTTTCTTTTATGGAATGCAGACTTTAAGGAACAATGTCAGAGACTGTGCAAAAAAATTTGGCTAAAACATCTTCAAAAACCTGGACCTATACTAAACTTTTGGGTAATTCGCCCTTTGATACCAATGCTAAACAGGCACGCTTTCCTACCGGACTTTTGGCACAAATTCAAAATGCTGGCTTTTATGCTTGGAAGCGTCTCCCTCAAAAGGGATCAGCTACTACTTCCCTGGCAAAAGTTAGACAGGGGCCAGATGAACCCTACAGTGACTTTGTCTCGCGACTTAACTTGGCTGCAGAAAGGCTTCTTGGGCCGAGTGAAAGTGCCTTTGTTAAACATCTTGCCTTTGAAAATGCTAACCTGGCACGTCAAGATGTCCTCCGGCCACATAAAAACAAGGGTGACCTCTCTGAGTTCGTCAGGCTTTGTGCTGGAGTAGGGACTGCTCACGCCATGGGGCTCGCCATAGGTGCTGCCTTTACCAAGGCATTTCAAAGTTCAGTCCCCGGCTCACATACTTGCTTTAATTGTAAACAACCTGGTCACTTTGCACGTGAATGTCCCTTCGGCAAACAAAGCCAAGGGGCAATGCCCTCCCAAGCTACATGTAAACCACTCCCTGCCACTCTTTGTCCCAAATGTGGTAAGGGCCGTCATTGGGCCAATGAATGTAGATCCAAAACAAATGCCCTTGGACAGCCCATTCTCTCTCTTTCTTGGGAAACTTCCCTCGGGGCCAGCCCCTGGCCCCGACTATCCCCAAGACAAGCCCAGGGGTGATAGGGTTTGTCCCCTCCCAAACTCCCAGTCCTACACAAGCCCCCCACCTCTCTCCACGATTGCCTCCCTCCAGCAGGCAACCCCAGGCAGTGCAGGACTGGACCTCTGTGCCGCCACCGACACAGTACTAGACTCTGTACAAGGACCTCAAATAATACCCACTGGGACCCTGGGACCCCCTCCGTCTCATATGTGTGCCCTTATTCTTGGAAGAGCCTCTGCTACCTTACAAGGTGGCCAAGTTTTTCCTGGTATTATTGATAATGATTATACAGGAGAAATAAAAATTGTGGCCACGGCCATTAATGGGATTGCAGCTATTCCAGCTGGAACTAGGCTTGCACAATTGGTACTGCTCCCATTAAATTCAAGGGGTTCTTCCACTGCTCAGACCACACCGCGAGGAACTGCTTCTTTGGGGTTTTCTGATGCGTATTGGGTTCAGTCTATCACTCAAAAAAGACCCACCCTCACCCTACGAATTGAAGGAAAGGAGTTTCAGGGAGTTTTGGATACTGGTGCAGATGCCACAGTTATTTCCCAAAAATATTGGCCACCAAGTTGGCCCCTTACCTCGTCCCTAACTGACCTTAAAGGCATAGGGCAGTCAAAAAACCCTTTGGTCAGCTCCAAGGTTCTTAATTGGACTGACAAAGAGGGCATTAGGGGAACTGTTACTCCTTTTGTTGTTTCTGACCTCCCTGTTAACCTATGGGGCCGGGATGTCTTGACCCAGATGGAAGTTATCCTTGCTAGTCCCAATTCTGTGGTTACACATCAAATGCTCCGTATGGATTTTGTCCCTGGTACGGGTCTTGGAAAATCAGGACAAGGAATCGTTGAGCCCATCCAAGCTACCCAAAAAACAGATAAACATGGGCTTGGATATTCGGATTTTTAGTATCGGCCCCAAGGTGGCTGCCAGAACGCTTGATAAAACAGGTGAATGGCTTACCACAACCCAGAGGAAACCTTCCCCCAGAGGATGATTCCTTTTCTCTTACAGATGCAGCTAGAACTCCAGACATGGACCCTCCTGTTTGAATTTATTAAATAACAGATTGATCTCTTGGCTTCTAAGCCCATACAGGTTCATCACCATCGCCTTGATATGGCAGACCAAGGCCATATCAAGAGATCTAGGATTACCCCAGGCTTTTAATTAGTGTTTTGCCATGAGCTTGTTCCAGTGGGAACCCCCCCTTCCTTTTTCTTATTTAGAAAACCCTCCTCCTTATTCATAACTCCTGACCATTCAACGGGCAAGACCTATTGCACCCTTGCCATAAGGGATAGGTTCACCCCTCCTCCTATAGGCTCCTCTGCTTGGGGGAGGATGCACCTATGGGAGGAAGAAAAAATGCTCTAATCAAGGGTGCAGGTAAGACTGCAGGGGGATGGATCCGCGAGATCCCAAAACCCAAGACCTCTGAGTGGCAAGCTCTGGTGCATGACGGTTGGCATGCATACCCACAAGCCGTCTCCTCAAAAAACATGCCAAGGCCTGTTAAATTCCCCACCCCGAGTGAGGGCGCTCGCTCGGGAGCAGAGAAAAACCCTGGGCCCTTAGAGGAACAGAGCCTCTGTCAACCCCCTTAAAAATGGCAGCCAACAATTGATGGTCAATTTTCTAAATAAGAAAGGGGGAGATGTAGGGAGCCAAAAGGGAGTCTCTCAACATGATAGGCTTGACTATCTCACTGGAACATCTTGAGGCTGAGTTTACAGAATCCGATCTTTTCCCCCTGCCCTAAGCAAACATCCTGCAGCTGCTACGGCCAATGAAAAAGCTTCCTTAACAGCCAATGAAAAAGCTTCCTTATTCTAAGCATATAAATACCCGTGTGAAAAATAAAAATTTGCGGCTTGATCAGAATCCTTGTCTTGCTGTCATTCTTCGTGTCTCTTGTCCCCTCATTCCTTCTCACTTAGGTTCACTGCCCTCGTTGACGTCCTGCGGGTCAGGACAATACACATATTTAGTAATAGCAGCTTTCAAAAGCAACTGATGGGAAAAATGAAGAATTCAAAGAGATATGCCAGAGACACAATGAAAATCTCTCTGGGTCTTCCCAGGATTCCTCTAGAAGCTGCCACCAGGAAATCAGGGACAAGCCTGTGAGTGGACCAACTGTGCTTATGGTGTGGATAATGGTGTATTCCTTTCTAAACTCATGGTGAGATGTGGCTGCCATTTTGGTGGTGTCGAGGGCAGACTTTCCAAAGGTGATGAGAGGATAAGGATTCCGTGGGATTAATGCTTTTCTCATGGGAGTCAGTTCTTCCCTCATTGGACTGGATTAGATGTTGTGGATTGGATTGTTATAAGCAAGATCACCCCAATTTACCTCTTTCTTGTGTGTCTGGTTCTCCCTGCATGTTTCTGTCATGAGTTGAAGCAACATGTGGCCCTCACCAGATGTGGATACCTTATCATCCACTTTATAAGCCTCCAGTGCCATCAAAACAAACCTCTTTTCTTTAGAAACAGAGAGGGGGTGGGGAGGGAGGGAAGACAGGGAGAGATGAAGGGGGTAAAGGAGGGAAGGTTGGAGGGAAGGAGTAGACAAAGGAATATGGGTGGAGTTCAGTAATACAGTACTTGCCTCTAAGCATTCAAGTGAAACACAGCCATTCTGGCTGGGGTAGATGGAATCTCGGTGCCATTTTTATTTGCATTTCCATTATGACAAACATTATTTAACAAAAACCTTCCTTCATGAATTTCTCTTTTGTGTATGTTGGTTCTGGGGCTTGAACAATGAGCCTCATGTTCTTGCTTGGCTGGCCCTCTACCATGTAAGCTACAGTTCCAATTCTGGTTTTTCAGTGGTTAGAGATTAAGAGTCTCATGGATTTTCCTGCTAGAGATGGCTTCAAACAGCAATCCTCAGATCTCAACCTCCTGAGTAGCTAAGATTACAGGTGCCTGGCTTCTGCATGAATTTCTTAGTTATTCTTGTGATAACTCTTTTCTTGTGTCTATGTGCCAGTACCAGGACTTGAACTCTGGGCCTTCATCTCTCAGCTTCCTTGCTTGCTCATAGCTAGAGCTCTGCCATTTGAGCCATGCCTTCAATCCAGTATTTTTCTGGCTAATTGGAGATGAAGTCTCACAGACTTTTCAGCCCAAGTTGGCTTGGCATGCATTCCTCTAGGACTCAGCTTCTTGAGTAGTTAAGATTACAGGCATGAGCCATCAGCACCCGGCTTTCTTTTGAGACCATCTACAGATGATTTGCCCTTTTGGTATGCAACATTTTGAGTTTATATATTCTGATTTTAATCACTTTCCCAATGACCAAGCCCCAGCTATAAACAGGCATTGTCTGGATGGAGGTGCCAGAGAAACACAGTTAAAAGCAAGCTTCAACGAAACAGAAGAACACAGCCTGTCCAGGTGTTAAGAAACAGCCTCATACCCAGAAAGGCCCGCAAATCACACAAAAGTAGAAAACCAAAGCAAGAGAGGAGGATCTCACCAGGCAGGGCCCAGAACACACTGTGGAAAAGGAGACAACACACTTTTTAACAGGCCACATTTATTGGGGAAGAAGGAAATCCGTATCAGACGTATTAAATCCTGAGAGGGGCTGACGGCCATTTGCAGCAGAGAGGGACCAAGGTGAGGAAGGAGGCGGCGATGCTGTCAGGACCACGAACGGAGCCAGTGCCATTAGCCGTCAAAGGCCGCCTCACACTGCCAGCGTGAGTCAGTCAGCCCAAGGAGGGCCTGCACGGAGGGAGCCAGGGAAACACCGAGCAAAGGCGGGCTGTCCGCAGAGGAGAGGGACGCCACCGCGCTGGGAGCCCAGCCGGTGTGGCCTGTGCATCACTGGGGAAACACGGTGACCACGTCGTAGCCCTCAGGGGGGGTGACCCGCTCCCGGGCGTGCTTCTCACAGTAGATCTGATCCTCTACGAAGAAATGGCCCTTCTGCTTCAGGTTGGTGCCACAGTCGGTGCACACGTAACACTCAGGGTGGCGATGACGTTCTCGAAGCTTCACAAACACCCCGCTACAGCAAGAAGAGGCCTGGGTCAGTGACCTGAGCACCAGGGCGGCACCTGGCTCCGCACTGGTCTCCTGGAGCTGGGAGCAGAGCTTCTCCACAAAGGCCCGGGAAAGCAAAGCCCAGGCCTCCCTGCGGAGCCTCCCGCGGGGATGTAAAGAAGCCCCGCCCCCGAAATGCTGGGAGCCCCGCCCACTTCCTGCTTTGACAAGTTCACAATGTAAAGGGTTTATTTAGCTCCTTCACATACAAGCTGCCCAGATCTTTCCCAGACAGCCCACCTGCAGGGCTGCCAAGACCCCGAAAGCAGATACTCACACAATGCCAGTGCCACATTTGTCACACATGGGCAGCTTCTGAGCATTTCCAATGGAGGCAGCCACTTTGGTGACTGGAGCCTTCACACTTCTAAATCCCGAGGGCTTGTTGGGGTCCCCTGAAACAAGAAAAACACTTACATTGGCCAGGAAGTACATTAGTGCCTGAGTATCACTTATTCACTCACACAGAGCCACACATACACATCTATGCCCAAGTAGGTCAGAGACACTGGAGTCCAACAGATGTGACCCTACTGTGTGCTAGTAAGCAAGTTACTTAACCTTTCTGATCTCCCAGCCTTTTCTATAAACCATGAAATCATTTTTCCCTTCGTTGTTGCACAAAAAAGATTAAAGCATACATAAAAAGACCCCCTACAGTACCTGACACACAGTCAACCCTCACAACAAAAATCATATTACATTTGAATTAGATAGTTGCAAATATTGATGTGTACCTTACAGTGCTCTACACAAGGGGTCTGGAGGTTCAAGAGCATGAGCCTCCAAACAACAGAGTTCAAACTCTAGTACCATCCCCACCAAAATATGTATGCATATATATATACAGATTAACGTATAGATTAACAATAAAAATAATATACAGATTAATAAATAAGTAAATAAAAATAATATCTGAGCCAGGTGCCAGTGACTCATGTCTATAATCCTAGCACTCAGGAGGCTGAAGTTCAAATCCAGCAGATAAATCTGAGTGACTATTTCCCATTAACAAAAATAAGCCAGAAGTGGAGATGTGATTCAAGTGATAGAGCATTAACCTTAAGCTAAAAGGCCAAGAGATTTCTGATAGTCCCACAGGTTTTTCTGCCCAGGTTGGCTTCTACCTCGATCCTCAGATCTTAGCCTCCTAAGTAGCTAGGATTACCCACATGAGCCACTGGAGCTTGCTGACTATGGTGTTTTTTAATGCCCTCTTAAATTTTGCATCCAAGGTAAGTGTCCTATTGCAATCTCAGTGCTACCTAGGAAGGGGGCTCAGAAGGGCCTGGAGGGCAGCAGCTTCAAACCTCCCGTCTCAAGCATCCCTGGCTGATAGCACTTGGATGTCTACCCCACGTGACAACAAAGAACAGCAGCAGCTCTGCACATCTGCACAGCCTGGAAAGAAAGGCAAACTAACTTCTGAAGGGACCAGCTCAGCAAGCTCAGGGTCTCCTCCAGGAAAGAGTGCCTTTCTCACGTAACTCCATCAGCAGAAAAATCACCAGGAAAAAAAAAAAAGGCGGGCGTCACAAAGGGGTGGAAGAGAAACCAAAGAAAGACATAAATCCACACTGGGTAGAAGAATCCACTTCTCTTCCTGTGATGAACAGACCTGGACTGATAGAACAGCTCTGCAGCAGCAGCAGAGCAGGCTGTGAGCTAAATGAGGCAGCCCGCACTTTGGGTTGTTCAGTCCTACATCGCCACCTGCTGGCATAGAGTTATCTTCTCTCACTTATCCAGCCAACATGGGAAATTCTATTTCTAACTACCTTACTATTGGATTTGTTTTACTTTTTCTTTTTTTACACTATTGCACTCACTGAAATTCTTTTTTCACTGAAAATTTAACTCAAGTACATGTTAAAAGACATGGGAAAAAACTACTATTTTAGCAAAACTCTTCATTTTTATTTTAGGTAAAAAGACATCTAGGGCCAGGCATACTCACAAACACCTGTAGCTTCACCTACATAGGAGGCAGAAATAGAAGGCTTGTGGTTCAAGGATGGCTGTGACAGAAAAATGAGATCTAACCTAAAAAGGGCTAGCTGTGACTTATGTGTTAAGAGTGCTTATGCTTGCCTAATAGGTATAAGGCTCTCAGTTCACACTGTAATACTATTTTTTTAAGGCATCAGCCTCAGGTATGAAAGAAAATTATAATTCCTGATCACACAAGTACATGTGGCTAAATGTTGTTCAATTAAATGTAAGTGGAGCCAGGCACTGGTGGCTCACGCCTGTAATCCTAGCTATTCGGGAGGATGTGAGGATCATGGTTCAAAGCCAGCCTGGTTAGGAAAGTCCATGAGACTCTGATCTCCAATTAACCACCAGAAAACCAGAAGTAGAGCTATGGCTCAAAGTGGTAGAGTGCTAGTCCTAAGCAGAAAAGCTCAGGGATAGCTCCCAGGCCCTGAGTTGAAGCCCCACAACCAACAAAAAAAGAAAAGAAAAGTAGGTGGAGTATTGTGGGACTTCTGGACGGAGAAAGCTAGCTCAACTGAAAGGGCCTGCCCAGTTAGCCCTGTCCTCTTCCTTTGTCCCTGTTGCCTTAAGGTCCTGGTAGATAAGCAGCTGGGAGGCCAGAGAACCTAATGAGGAGGAGAAAAGGCGCCCTCTTCAATGCACCCACTGTCACTGTCTTTATTAAGTGATCTACTGTTTCTGCTATCTGCTGGAATGTCACCAAAATAAAGACGGAGAAGCAGAACTGACCTGATGCCTGCAGAGGCACTGGAAGGAGCCTTGAGCAGCTCAGGCATCAGGGCTCCCCAGGCCTCGTGAAGGCCAAGCCGAGGCCTTCAGGTGCACGCATCTGACAGCACACTGTGACAGGTTTCCTGCAGTATGTGTGACCCCTGAGCCTACAGTAGTCCAGATACTAGCCTAAGGGCACAGAGTGCGGACAAGGCCCTGGGAAGGGGGGAGTCTCAGCCTCTCAAGAGACTTGGACCCAACAGTGGTTCCCAAAAGAAAGCAGGTAGCTGGCTTCACTGGGCAGCTGGTCCACTTTCATTCCACCTGCCACACATCACTGGTGGCTCCCACCCACACCACAGAAGCATGGTGTATGGGCTCAGACCAAACAAATGATCAAGATATCGACCGACAGAATCCACGAGTCACGTTTACTCCAACCTCAGCTTCCTGATGCACGTGTGGCAGGAAGCCCGCAGCCAGTACAGAGCTTCCTAAGTAAACGTTAGGTCGGCCAAGAGGGGGCGCTCTCACACTTTTTGGGGGGTGGTATTACTGGGATTGAACTCAGGACCTTAGGTATATAGACAAGCACTCTACCTGTGAGCCATATCCCCGGCCTCCCTTGCTCTCTCTTTTAAATGACCTTCCAGCTTTTTTTTTTTTTTGTCAGTTGTGGGGCCTGAACTCTGGGCCTGGGCACTGTCCCTCAGCTCTTCAGGTCAAGGCTAGCACTCTACCACTTGAGCCACAGTGCCACTTCCGGCTTTTTTTTTCCTTTTTGTTTATGGGGTGCTGAGGAATCGAACCCAGGGCCTCATGTATGCAAGGCAAGCACTCAATCACTGAGCCACCTTCCCAGCCCCAATCTTCTAGCTTTTTAAAGGTACATGCCAAGCCAGGCACTAGCAGCTTATACCTATAATTCTAGCTACTGAGGAGGCTGACATCTAAAGATGGTGGATCAAAGCCAGCCCAGGCAGGAGAGTCTGTGAGAGTCTACACACACACCTTAAAGCCCCAGGGCCTAGTACGTGTGTACACACACACACACACACACACACACACACCTTAAAGCCCCAGGGCCTAGTACGTGTACACACACACACACACACACACACACCTTAAAGCCCCAGGCCTAGTAGGCCCTAAATTCAAGCCCAAGGACAGGTACTCTCCCCTACCCCCGCTTCCCTCCCATCATCCCCCCCCCCTCCCGCCCTGCATAAAAATCCATGCCAAGTGTGGTGGTGCATCCCTATAACCTCAGCCATGAGAGGCTGAGACAGAAGGTGAATTATTTCAGATCAGCCTGGACAACTTAGCAAAACTATGTCTCAAGTGGAAAAGAAAACAGCCACACATTCAGAACACAGCATGCTTCTTCCACCTACTCCGGGCTTCGGCACTGACTAACCTTCACTCCTGACCCTGACTCAGAACCCGTGGCTGCTGCAGATAGGGACGATTACCTTTTTCATCTGACTCCAAGATTTCCTGCAGAACCAGGAACGAAGTGGACTGCTTCGGGGGCTCATTCAACTCCTGCTTCTCCTGCAGCATCTTGTAAACCTCAGATTCCTTGTCGATGATTAGGCCCCCTGATGCCTGAGCGTGGTCCATGCTGTGGAACGGTCAAGTTCATGAACACGTGTGAGACGTGAACAAGCATCACCAGGCCCGCCCCTCCGGCAAGCACAGCCACGACGACAACCAAAACTGTAGAAGACTCTTTCCAAAGGGTTTCAGGAATTCAACTCTCCTGGCTCACAGGTGTGGTGGCAAGAATAGAATGCTCATGTGCTTTGCCATCCATAAACGTTCAGGCCCAGGGAACAGGCAAGCCAGGCCTGGCCTCCACACCTTCCTCCTGCCACTCCATGTGCCCCAGAGCAGGTGAGGCAGGCTCTACTGTGTGGTCTGTTTCCCTGGGGCTCCATTTTCCAAAAGGTGAAGGCCTGCACTGCCTGGCCTTGGATGGAGATGCAAGGGAGGCAGGCTCCCGTGCGTGGTTCCTGGGCTCCACCCTGAATCCAACCCCCTTGTTCTCACCCCCGGCTCCTGGATATCCAAGCTACAGCACTGCTGGCTAGCAGGACTGGACAGCTGTGTACACCCTATCTGTCGCCATTCATAACTGCAGGACAGGCCTTTTTTGTGCTGGGATTTGAACTCAAGGCCTGGGGTGTTGTCCCTTAGCTTTTTTGTTCAAGATTGGTGTACTACTACTTGAGTCACAGCTCCATTTCTGGCTTTTTGGTGGTTGATTTGAGATAAGAGTATCACAGATTTTTCCTGCCTAGCTTTGAGCTAGGATTTGAGCTAGCGTTCAGGCTAGCTTTGAGCTGGGATTTTCAGATCTCAGCTTCCTGAGTAGCTAGGATTGCAAACACAAGTCACAGGAGCCCAGCAGGAAGTCTTTTTGTGTGTGTGGGTGTGCCACACACAAGCTTGAATTCAAGGCTTGGGTGCTAGTGCCTAGGATAGTGTTTGTGGGGTTTTTTTGCTTAAGGCTAGCACTCTACCACTTGAGCCACAGCTCCACTTCTGGCTTTTTCTGGTAGTTCATTGGGAATAAGATTCTCACAGATTTACCTGCTTGGGCTGGCTTCAAACCATGACCATCTGATCTCAACCTTCTAAGCAGCTTAGATTGCTCTTTTTTTTTGTGCCAGTCCTGGGGCTTGAACTCAGGGCTTGGGTGCTGCCCCTAAGTTCAAGCCCTAGTATCAGAAAAAAAGCAAAAAAAAAAAAAAGTCAGAAGCTGGTGGCCCATATCTGTAATCCTAGCTACTCAGGAGGCTGAGATCTGAGGATTACAGTTCAAAGCCAGCCTGGGTAGGAAAGTCCGTAAGACTCTTATTTCCTATTAACCATCAGACAACCAGAAGTGGTGCTATGGCTGAAAATGGTAGAGTGCTAACCTTAAGCAAAAGAACTTAAGCAAAAGGGACAGTGTTCAGACCTTCAGTTCAAGCCCTAGGACTGGCAATAAATAAATAAATGTAAGTTCCTGCATTGCATTTTGCAGGAAATTGATGTGGAGAGGCCCTCAGGCAATCCCAAGTGGTTAGTGCTTATTTATTTTTTATTATTCTTATGAAGGCAATGTATGGAGGGATTACAGTTACATAAGCCAGGTAGAGTGCATTTCCTTTGGGACAATGTCACCTCTTCCCTGGCTCTCTCCCAGTTTTTCCCTCATTAGTTGTATTTAAATCCTAGTGTGATCCACTGAGTATTTCAATATGCATTCTCAAAACTATTGATGCCCCCAAAGCAAGGAAAATGCTAATGTGCTTCATTTAAGATAGTGACACATCGTAAGGAAAGTTGGGGGGCACTGTGGGCAAAAGAAAAACAAAACTGAATCAAGTACCAGCAAAACAGCCCTGAGCTCTGCGTCCTGAGCATGCACAGTCTTTCCTTGACCAGGTCTCTGCAATACCAAAGGTGCACCATATCTGTGTTTCTGGACGACGTTCTGCAAGTTACTTCTCTTTTCTTCCTCTCATTCCACGTCTCCCTCTTTCTTTTTTCCCTCTTTTCTCCCCATGTGGGAGGCATCCTGGAGGACTTCAGATGCCTAGTTCTCAGCTGAAAACGGACTTGTCCAACAGCAGTGAAGCCCCAGGTGTTTCCCCTGGACCACAACCATGTTCTGACAACAGAACTCTCTCACGGACAGTGACATAAGCTATGCTTTGCTGCACCTGGGGAATATTTAAGCAGAAGCTCTCGTTGGCTGGTCAGGCCTGCCAGCTGCGGTGTGCCCTGGGGGAGGGAAGCTGCCACCCCGCCCATCCTGCGCCCATCCTGCCTGCCGCCTTGCCCCAGGCAGCCAGTCTCTGTCTGTGTCCTTCTCCCTCTACCTGCAGGGAGTTCTGGGAGCCTTTCGTGCAGCCAGGCAAGGGGCTGCCCTGAGGACTTGTTTTAACAGAGTCTTCCTCAGGCTCATCTACTCAACCCTGTGGAGCTAGGAACTTGCCCTATATTAAGTACATTACAATATTTCTTATGAATCTCTTTTCTATTCCTCTAAGGACTATTTTAAAATCAAGATCAGACCATGGAATGTTGTTGGGAAGAATTTTTCTCTTCTTTGGTGTATGTAATGTCTGAAAGTCACCAGGGAATGCTAAAAATGAAAGAACCCAAGGCCAGCAAACAACTCAGAAAGCATTTCCATAATTCAAATAAAAGAGAAACCAATATACCAATTATTCTTAAATAATATCTTTATACTGCTGGATGATTTATAAGCTATGCCCACTATCCTTACTTGAAACTCCAACGCCAGCCGAACTCAAAAATTATAGCCTAGTGATTCAAACTTTAAGGCTGAGTCCGATTTGAAGTCTGAGTCCCTGGGCTATATGATATTATTAACATGATAACAGTATCTTAAGAAAATAATCAGGACAAAATATGCCTAAGATACGGAAAAACAACAACAACAAAAATTCTCAAAGCAATGAAAGAATTCTATAGTGAGCCAGGCATAAAGCCACACGCCGCTATAAGAAGCTGAGGCAGGAGGAGGAAGAGTTTAATGCCTGCCTGAGCTACCTAACTAGACTCTTAGGGAAAAGAAAAGAAAAGAAAAAATGCAAGAGAATGTAAGAAGTCCCCCCCCCACACACACACACTTTGACCCATCTCCCAAAGGAGTCTTAGGAAGCCCTGCCTACAGACTTTATATGCCACTCCAATCTGCTCCAGCTGAAGAGCGGCTGAAGCCAAACAGCATCAGGTCAAGGAGGATCAAGAACAGCAGGCCGTGCCTCTGGACAGGGTCAGCAGAGCGACCTGAGATGGAAGTCAGCTTCCTCAGAATAATGAAGTTACCAGAATGCGGATACAGAGGAATTCTGTAAAACTTGAGCCATCACTTTTGGCAGTAAGTTAAAGATCTGTGTCTATAAATCCTAACCAAAAGAAGGAAATCCTCAGCAACAACAACAAGAAGCTCATTTCAAATATTAAGACAAACAAGTTAAAAGGGTAAAAAGAAATACACCACATAACCATGAATCAAAGGAAAGCTGTCGTGACTATATTACTCTCTGGTTGAATTAACTGGCAAATTAATTCACCAGAAATGGAAAGAGACTTTGTAAAAAGGGCCATTATTAAAAATCACAAGAAAGGACACTGAAAATCATACACCAAGAAGCTATAACAATCTTAATGGCTAACTAAAACAACAGGGCTTCATATGTGTGAAGCAAAAACTGAGAAGTGGAAGGAACAACAGACATGTTCAAGGTGACAGGTGAAGGATTCAACCTTTCTCTCAACCACTAACAGGCCAATAGACTCAGCAAAGAAGTAGAACTCAGCAATACTGGCAGCTAACAGGGACTTTTACACGTGACCTTTACCACTTGTTGACCCGTCAAAAGTAGAATAAATATGCTGACAATATCCATGAATGACACCAAGACTCTATCCTAGGCCACAGACTCCATCTCAACAAATGTTAGAGACCTGAAATTACACAATGCATTCTCTGACCACAACAGAATCAAATTATAAATCAACAGCAGAAACAGGAAAACCTCAAAACTTCTACAAGGGAAACAGACTTCCAGATAATACACAGGTTGAAAAGAAAGTCTGAAGGAAATAAAAAACATTACCACACTGAATAAAAATATGAAACCTAAGAATCTGTGGTCCGAGGTTAAAGTAAGGCAGAAAGGAAACTGATGGCATTAAATGCATCTACTAAAGGGAGAAGTCTCAAGTCAACAACCTCAAGAGCCAACCAAAGAAGCAAAATCAAACCAAAGGAAGCAGGTTAGAGAAGCAGTATGTCTTGCCAGTGTTATGGTTTAGACATGAATCTCTTTTCCTGGGAAGGCTTGGTGGTCCCCGGCTGGTTGGCTATTAAGAAGTGATTAGACTGTAACCATGCCAACCTCATCAATGTGTATGCTGACTGATGTGTTCATACCTCATAGGCTAGAAGATGGGGCAGGCTTTCCTAGCTGGAAGAAGTAGGTCACCAGGATTGTGTGGGTCCTTGAAGCTATATCCTGAGGTTTATGTTGTCCCTGGCCCTTTTCTCTCTTGCTTCTCTGGCCCCCAAGCACTATGAAAAGACATTTACTCCACCAGGTGTACTACCATCAGAAAGAAGAGTGTCACAACAAACCATGCAGACACCAAAAGGATAAGAAAACACCACGGTCCACCATAGTAAATGGCTATAAAAAAAACTTAACTGATCGGATCAATGGGAATAGATCAATGGGAATAGATAAGATTCAACATCATTCCAAAATTCAAAAATTAGAAATAAAGAGAGCTTCCTAGCTTGACAAATTATAGTTAGCACCCCACTTAAGAGTAAACTAAGCTCAATGTTTTTCCCAAAGATGGAGAAGGAGTCAAGGATGCATGCTCTAGCCATGCTGATTTTTGACTCAGCTGCTAGTGCTCTAAGCTTTGGCCAATGCAACAAGGCAAGAAAAGGAAAAGGTCACACATGTCAGAAAGGAAGACAGAAAACTACGTAGAACCACTGTCAACACAGAAAATCACAAGGAATTGCTATTAGAATATATAAAATCTGCAGGAAGGACTAAAAGTAAAGGTATTTTTATGCTAGCAAGAGAC